AAGAACTCCTTCTGTCTTTCTTGCTGTGCATGGGCTCTGTGCTGAGGGTTTGCCTGTGTGCAGAGTGGGAGCTGGGCCAAAGGGAAGCCAATTACATCTCCAACACTGGTGTTGCTTTCATTTGTGAGAGGAGTAATTAAAAGTCCTTTTTGTTTTGTCCTTTCTTCCTTTCTTGAGGTTAAGGATTACATTTTATAAAAATTGTTTCTGATCCTCTACAGTTCAGAATTAGACTTTGTTGGGGTTCAAAAAACGATAATCCAAAGTATAGCACTTTGGCCTGCTAAGTACTTCCAACTAAAGCAGGGGCCCCAACCCCCAGGCGACAGACCAGCACCAGCCCGTGACCTGTTAGTAATTGCACCTCGCAGGAGGAGGTGACCCGCAGTAAGCAAGCAAAGCTTCACCTGTATTTATAGCCACTCCCCATCACTCGCGTTACCGCCTGAGCTCTGCCTCCTGTCAGATCAGTGGCAGCATTAGATTCTCATAGGAGCATAAACCCTGTTAGGAACGGCACATGTGGAAGGCTCTAGGTTGCAAGCTTCTTATGAGAATCTAATGCCTGATGATCTGTCACTGTCTCCCATCACCCCTAGATGGGACCATCTAGTTTCAGGAAAACAAGCTCAGGGATCCCACTGATTCTACATTATGGTGAGTTGTATACTTATTTTATTATATATTATAATGTAATAATCATAGAAATAAAGTGCACAATAAGTGCAATGCGCTTGAATTATCCTGAAACCACCCCCTCCCCAGTCCATGGAAAAATTGTCTTCAACAAAACCAGTCCCTGGTCCCAAAAAGGTGGGGAACTACTATTCTAAAGGACATCTGAAGGACCTCGGAAGCAGTCTCAGGACCAAGGTCACTCTGACCTTCTCCTGCCCTCCTACCTGTCACGCCTGAGTCTCCCTGGAAGCAAGTCACAGAAACCAGAATTCCTCTTCCCCAAGGCAGGTCACAGAAATTAGAACCCTTATTGCCCAAGTCAGCCATGAATACAAGGAATAACCTACAAGGAATACAAGGCTAACCTTCTCCCCTCCTACCTTTCTGTCTAGGTGCTGGCCATAAAGGAATTCTCTGACCTACCCTTGTCTGATAATAGGTCATAAGACTCCTCTTGTAGAGGGTTCTTGCTCCATACCCAGGTGGAGGGAATGCCACTGAGAGGCCAAGAAGAATCTGGACAGGGCTTACTGGCTTTTCTCATTTCAGTCTACTGGATCACACCCTTTTTTCCAATGACCATTCTATACAGCTATTCATTCTTCATTCAACCTAAGCATAAAAATGGATGTTTTCTTCCTGTATCTTTGGATCTTCATTCCAAAGGCTTTCGTGTCACATAAAACTTTAAGTCATTTTTTTTGTGTGTGCTTTTCTCCTGTTGTCTTTTGTTATAGCAGTGTTGGCTGGGACCCTTATGAGGAGTGAAGAAAGATATCACACGCTTTTCACCTCTACAGCTCAATACTGCAAATATCCTGCAGCTTGTCTTGCTTTTCCCATGAAAGTAAAACATTGAGAATTATCCCTGATGATATATGTCTGCGGTACATTGATTTTCACTGTTCTGCATATTCCATTGTGTGATTAGAACAAAACTCATTTATCCATTCTCCTGTTCCAAGTTTTTACTAATGCAAACAATGCTGCAATAAAATTATTGTTCATGTCTGAATTTTTGCATGGCCTAGAATTTCTCTGGGGTATTAATCTGCCAAAGGAATTGCTTGGTCATAAGGATGGACATGTTCAAATTCATCAGGCATTGTCACATTGCTTTTCAAAGCAGTTGTATAAATTTATCATTCTTCCCACAACTTTTGAGGGCTTCTGTTGCCCAAATCCTCATACCAAAGAAAGAACACTCTAGAAGATGCAGGTTTCAGTCCCAATTCTCTCCATCTGTACACCAGTATTAAGTTTCAGCACCTATGTTACTTAGAGCAATAAAGATCCCAGGGCAGACACAGTGTCAGCTCTGCAGTTCACTGTCCTGATTTTTAGTTTCTTCTTCATTTCTGGCCCAAGGCAATTTTTCTGCCTTTCTTAGCAATTCAGCCCTGCATTTATAAGGATGTTAGTTAAAATTTATTGAGCAATTCTTGGTGTTGGTAGCTGGAGGGTTTTCAACTTATCTGTACTGCCAGGCCCTTAAATCCCTACCAGTGTTTTAGCACGTGACCACTCTTTAAACACTCCCCAAATTTTGGATAACATGAAGTAAGTAGAATCAAATTAGCAGCTACAATGAGCTAAGGAACTCTCTTCCCAGGTGTTCATTAACTTCAGCATGGCATAACAATTAATGGTAAGGACTCTGAAGCCAGGTTGTATGGATCTAAGTCCCAACTGTCTTTGACTTTGGGCAGTATACTTCATCTCTCTGGGCCTCAGTTTCTTCATATGCAAGATGAGGATGATGGCAACAGTACCTATTCAGTAGGGTTGGTATAAGGATTCAAAGAGTTACTAGTGATAAAAATGCTTAGAATTGTATCTGACACACAGCATGTGCTATGTAATCAATTGATGCATGAATAAAATGGAATAATGAATATTAGACATAAATTTTTGTATGACCTATATTATATATTCTGCGAATATTTTAGTAATGATTTTTCCTTCAATCCCCAGCATCAGCGATCTAAGGTTGGTAACATAGCACTACTTTTCACGTTTAATGATTCTAATAATAAATTGCTTTTACCTAAAAGCATCTCTGTGTCCTTTTGAATACCAGCAAAATGGCTGGTGTCCATTGCAGAAAATTCCTTCCATCATGGAAAGAATTCCCTGCTCAAACCAAGCTGTTATACAACCTGGGAGCAAGGGTGTTGGGAATGTAAAGAGGGAGAAATGAATAAATATGAGGAAGAAGGACAAGAGAAATACAGACTTGTTCTTCCTCATAACCTGGTGGCGTCCAGTTGCCAGTAGCAGGATGCTGCCCAAGGAGCCTCTTCTTTCCCTTACTCCTCCCAGCTCCGTGCTTCAGTCACAGAAACTCTGTGCTCACCACATGTGCCCCGCTGCTCCTCTAGATTCAAAGAGGCGAATGGGGCAAAATATTGCAAAAAGCTTTCTTTTTGTCTAGAGTAGGCAAATTCCATATTCAAGGATGTCCAGGGTGTGAGAATCCCATGCCTCAGGGATCTGAGCCATCACAAGAATGGAATATTAGAAAAGAATCCATATGACACTGTTTATTCTGCTATTGTGTCATATATTGTCATTATCCTCTTTCCACCCTTTCATGCCATACACACCTTAATATTTTGTACTTCCCAGGCCTACAATATACTTTATTTAAACTGAAATAAACTTATTAAGGTTCACAACACAGCCCATACAGCAAACCTGATAATGTCTCACAATAATATGAATTTAGATGTAACATGATAAGCAATTAGTTCCCTTCTCAGCCAGCACCCATTCTCAAACCAGGAAGGTCAAGTTCAGTTCTCTTCCTGGGGCTGTGGGGGATGAAGTGATTACCTCATGATTGTTTTGCATTTTCTCATATACAGAGAGATGGACATTATTCTAATAATATGCAAGTTTAATAAATATCATTTTCTTTCTTTTTTCACACCAGACCTGGAAAACTGACTAGAAAATTTTGTTTGCAAAAATGGTTTGCAAACTGGGCTGGGTGTGGTGGCTCACGCTAATCCCAGCACTTTGGGAGGCCCGGGTGGCCGATCACTTGAGGTCAGGAGTTTGAGACCAGCCTAGCCAACATGGTGAAACCCCTTCTCTACTAAAAATTTAAAAAAAAAAAAAAAAGCCAGGTGTGGTGGTGCACACCTGTAATCCCAGCTACTCAGGAGGCTGAGGCAGGAGACTCTTTTGAGCCTTGTAGGCAGAAGTTGCAGTGAGCTGAGATCATGCCATTTCACTCCAGCCTGGGGAACAAAGTGAGACTCTGCCTTGAAAAAAATATGTTTTTTTGCAAACATGGTTAGTCATTTTCCTTGACTAAACTTTTGGACCTCACTTACAGTTTTACAGAGGGGTGGGGAGTGTTACTCTATTTCTTCATGAAGAGAAAAAAGAAAACTCTTACCAAACAAAACAGAAATCTGTTTTGATTTATGTGGTGGATCTATCAACCTCTTTCTCTATACTTTTTCTGTAACTGCCCCAAAGGTTCTCCTTGCTCACTCCACAAACGAAATCAATTCACAGAGATCATGGCGTTGCAATGACGTGAGTTTAATTGACATGAGGCTGGCCATGTCACGTGTATTACTCAAATCAATCTCTTCGAAGGTTTGGAGGTTAGGGGTTTTTCAAAGATACTTTGGTGGGCAGCAGGCTAAGGTATGAGGGTTGATTGGATGGGTCAGAGATAAATCATGGAGAATAGAAGCTGTTCTCTTGCACTGAGTGAGTTTCTGGGTGAGGCCACAGGACTGATTGGTGGGTCTCAGTGGAGCCTTTGGTCATTACAGGTGCAGAAAACCTGAAAAGACATCTCAGAAAGCCAATTATAAGTTCTACAATGGTGATGTTATCTGCAGGAGTAATTGGGGACGTTGCATATCTTGTGACCTCCTGAATAATGGCTGGCAATCATTCATGTCTACACCTTAGCAGAATTCAGGCCCCTCTAATCCTCCTGGCCTGGTGATCTCTCACTAGCTTTACAAGGTGGCTGAATTTTGGGGAAAGGCTATTATCACTTAAGCTATAAACTAAACACCTCCCACAGTTAGCTTGGCCCAAGCCCAGGAATATTTAAGTGCAGTTTGAATGCTAAAGGCAAGATAGGGGTTGGCTAGATCAGATCTCCTCCACTGCCTTAATTTTCTTTCTGTTGTAACTTTCGCAAAGGCAGTTTCATTTCTACCACACAGATTTCGGGATTCAGAAATACTTGGTTTCACTATTATTCTGGGCACAGAAGAACCTTGTGAGTCCTGGACCTTTTATTATTTATTTATTTATTTATTTAGATGGTGTCTCACTCTGTTGCCCAGGCTGGAGTACAGAAGCGCCATCTTGGCTCACTGGAACCTCTGCCTTCACTTCCGGAGTTCGAGCAATTCTCCTGCCTCAGCCTCCCTAGCAGCTGGCATTACAGGTGTGAGCCACCTGGCCCGGGATCCTGGCCTTTTTAAATCAGGTATGGGCATATGACTAGTTCTGGTCAGTGGTTTGTGGGAGGATGTGTTATGTGTCAATTCCAGGGTGGAACATTTGATTGTGGGAGCAAGACCTTTGAACTGTGCTCTTTATCTGCAGTAGTGATTGCAGATGGACAGGCGGAGATAGAATCTCCTTCATCTGCATCCCTGAAAGACTAAAATCAGGGGAGTCCTCACCCACCCCCTATAGGTATGTAGATTACATAGAAAAGAAAAAGGTTATTTGGGGCTGTTTGTTAAGCACAGCATAACAGCCTGTGCTGTTAATAATCATGCTGGCTCAGACACGTGGGAAATACTTTCCCTGTGATGCTGACCTGTCAGAATGAAAATAACACTCTACATGTGAATCTCAAAACCTGAATTACATTCTTAGGTGTGCTTCTCATTACGGATACAGCCTTGAGCAAGTTAATAATTCATCAAAAATGTGTTGAGCACCTACTGCGGCCCAGGTGTGTCTTTGTCACATCTGTCTCCGGGCCTTGGTTTTGGCAACTACAGAATTAGAGAATTTGACTAGATTTTTAATTTTGTGATTTTAGCATTACTATAGTATTACTTTGTGTCACTTGGCTTATTTATTGGGCTTAAGCATGTTTTCCAATGTCACCTCTGCTCCAGATCTCCTTTTTCCTAATCTCGTCTTCTGGGAGAAGATAGTGCCCCTTATGCTTATGCTGCAATTAAGTAACCTGTGGAAGAGGCTTATGCGGTGACATTAGGAAAAAAGGTCAGCAGACTGTATCCTTTGAGCCAGATCTGTGTTTTACTGGTACACAACTGTGCTGTGCTGTTTATTTATGTATTATGCATGGCTGTTTTCACTGTACACTGGCAGAGCTGACTAATTATGAAAGAAATAGAATTCCCCACAAAGCCAGAAAGAAAGAAAGCAAGGAAGGAGGGAAGGAGATAGGGAAGGAGGAAGGGAAAGAAGGAAAGAAGGAAGGAGGGAAAGAGAGAAGGAAGGGAAGGGAGGGAGGGAGGGAAGGAAAGAGAGAACCTACCTACCTAAAATCTGGCCCTTCACAGAAGTGTGCTGACTGCTAGCCTGGAAATATCTCCATGTGTTTACTCTAATTTCTTATTTATCTGTTGTTACCTGTATAACCTTCTAGAACTCCACTGATACTGCATTTGCTAAGGTGGACTAAGACCTCCTAACTAAACCTAATAAACATCTTTCAGTCCTTTTGATATAGGAGTTAGAAAGAAATTATTTAAGCAACTGCTGCAATCTCACTGTGACTCTATTGAAGGGCACAGCAAGGGAGAATGGCAATAAATTATTTAGGAAATACGTGTTCAGGGTGGAGCACAGATAGCATCGTACATCAAGGAAAGAAGTTTAGGCTTTATTTTGTAGGCAATGGGACAGAGTAATGTTTTTCAGCTTACGGTGACCTGCTCAGACTAGAGTTTTATGGAAATCAATCCTGTAGCAACTAATGTCCCTGATGTATTTTGTTTGATCTATACACAACACAATATAGCATATTTACATTTCATTTCTTCTAAATAAACTCAGTACTCCATAAAAATTTATTCTATACTTGTGTACTTTTCATATTTTCACTACTCTCAAGTCAATTCCTTGAGGAGAAAGAGTTCTAGAAAATATCACTGAGTTTTTTTACATGAAAAAATTATTATAAAATATACATTGCTTCACTTAACTTTATGCTTACAAGTTTATGACTAGTAGGCTTAACTTTTCCATTGGAAAAAAATCAAGATTATTATATATGATGACATGAATTTTGTAACTGCCCAGTGGGTTCTTCCCACTGCACACACAAAATCAACTCACTTTGACCATGGCATTGCAATAAAAAAGAGTTTCATTGATACAAGGCCAGCCGTGCCACACAGGAGATGGAGTTATTACTTAAATCGATCTCCCCAAAGGCTTGGAGGCTAGGGGTTTTTCAAAGATAGTTCGGTGGGCAGGGGGCTAGGATGGAGGCATGCTGATTGGTTGGGTTGGAGATAAAATCAAAGGGAATGAAAGCTATCCTCTTGTGCTGAGTCAGTTCTTGGGTGGGAATCACAGGGCTGGTTGGTGAGTCTAGGTGGGGCCGTCCTGTTGTCAGAATTGCAAAAATCTGAAAAGATATCTGAAAAGGCCAATCTTAGGTTCTGCAACAGTGATGTTATCTGCAGGATTAACTGGAGAAAGTATGAAACTTATAACCTCCGGAATAATGGCTGGTAATTATTGAGAATTTAAGCCCCTCTTATCCTCCTGACTTGGTAGTCTTTCATTTGATTTATAAGAACCGGTTAGTTTTGGGAAGGGCTATTATCATTTAAACTACAAACTAAATTTCTCCCAAAGTTAGCTTGGCCCATATGCAGAAGTGGACAAAGACAGCCAGTCTCTTAAGGCTCGAAGCAAAATGGAGTCAGATGTCTCTTTCTGTCATAATTTTGCAAAGACAGTTTCAATTTGAGCTAGAAGAATGAATGTTCTTTCTCAACAATAGAGAACATGCTTGATGGTATTATTTAATATAACTACACTTAAATTTTATTTTCTTATTCGTTAAACAATCAAACAGCTTTATAAGACATGATAAAAGCAGCCATCCCCTAGTTCCTTCTTCACCCCTGATCTGTGATCTCCAGAGGAAATGATGTTCAATTCATCTTTATGGTATTTATCAAATTCCTCAATGATAATATAGAATATTATTTCTTAGTTTTTTCAATATTAGTATCTACTGACTTCATACTATGGAAGATGAGGATTGAGTTCTATAATGTACCCTTTCCTATATTTACCCACTGTAGTTATTGATTTTTTGATTAATATTCCATTTGACATCATGATTTGCATATGATAATCCATAGCTGAACCACACACTCATTAGTGAAGGAAGCATTTTTTTGTGTAACACTTTCGTTGCTTCACTTTAATCAAGTCCTATTGCTTGTTTAATTCCTTTCTTATGTACCTTCCACTGATTTTTGCCCAAACTCCCACCCATTTGTCTAAATAAAACTCCCCACAACCTGTTCATAAACAGCAAGCAAATGTGATTGTTTTGTTTCTTAGAAGAATCCTTCTAGAGTCCTTGGATACCATTGCTCTAATTGGGAAAATTTGCTTCCTGGGCCAGCTTCTCTTCATTATCCTAGGATTTCCTTTCACCATCATCTCAGGAATTCACTTCACTCCACCCTAAAGTCGGATTTCCTGTTTCCCAGAAAACAGTTCATACTTCTTTCTTTCTTGGTTTACAAGTTTACTTCAGGTGAGTATCACAGTAGACTACTGACAAAGGGTGCATGAAAGATCTTTTTTTTTGAGACTTTTGCATCTTTTTAAATGTTTTATTATAATCCTACCACTCGACTATTTGATAATAAAATGCTAAATTGAAAATAATTCAGAATTTGAAAGGCATAATTCCATCATCTTTTGACAATAGTGCTGTAACACCATTCCAATCCCCAGTTTTTGTTGACAGCTTGCTTCCACCCCCTCTTCACCCCACCCTCCCCACTCTGCCCTACTCCATCCTCCATCCCCTACTCCATGCTCTGGAAGCTTTCCAAATAACATCTCTGTCCCAAGGTTCTGAAGTGTCTTGGTAGGGGTAATATCTTTCCTCAATCACTGTGATAGTGTTAGAGTAGGTAGCTAGCCAGACATGAGCAGGACAGGAGAGAGTCCCCCACCTCCCCACTCCACCAGGAATGTCAGGCGACCATCAGATGATAGTCAGGTGGTTGTTAAACTCTCTAAAATAATAATCGGTAGCAGCCAGCACCAAGGAAGAGCGGGCTCCCAGTAGATAGAAAACACCTGAAGCTAGTGATCAGCCGCTTCCCGATAAGATCTTAGGAGTTGGGTGATTGGGCTCAAGCATGCACACTAAGAGGCACAGTAGGTAGAGTTTAACTGCTATATGACCTCCCTCTGGGAACACTTGACTGGTAAGGGGAAAAACACCTCAAGTGAGCATGCGCACAACTTCAGTAAACACACTGCACATGTGGCGCCTCCCATGTGCTGGCAGGCCACTGCACGTGCAGACAGCCCATCCCAAGGGAAGAATCAGGGGAGAGAACAGACATAAAACCCTGGAAGCATGCCAACATATAAAACCCCATGTCAAGGACTAAATGGCACATTTGGATCTCTCAAGTCACCCACATGGCCCTCTTCCAAGTGTGCTTAACTTTCTTTCATTCCTGTTCTAAAACTTTTTAATAAACTTTCACTCCTGCTCTAAAACTTGCCTTGGTCTCTCACTTTGCTTTATGCTTCTCAGATAAATTATTTCCTCGAAAAGGCAAGAATCAAGTTGCTGCAGACAAATATGGATTCATCCCTGCTGACATACTTTGGTGCTGTTATTACCAAAACACCAGGGGTTCGGTCTAGGTTCTGCTACTTGCCACACAGAAAGCCATGCACTGAGATGACAACTATTGACGAGGAAGAAGACTTTAATCAGGTGCTGCAGCTGAAGAGATAAGAGCTCAGTCTAATTCCATATCCCTGACCCACTAAAACTAGGGGTTTATATAAAAGGGAAGAAATGTAACAATGTAAGAGAACAGGAACTAGGGAGGGGCAAGGAAGCAATCATGACAAATGAGGGGTCCTGGCATCTGATTGTCTGGATGTGGTGATCTGGTGACTTTCAGTTCTTTGATATTTTTTTGAGAGGCCTGAAAGTTGTGTCCTGAGGAAGGAACTCAGATAAAACAAATATAAGTTTTAAGCTTTAAGACCTAAAGTGTCAATTCCTATGTTTATCAAGAAGAACTGTCTATGGGACAACTGGGTCAGTTTCACCATGACTGGGATACTGCATGGGGTGGGTTCGTGAGAGCACCAGGTATCCTAAGGGAAACTTGGGAGGGAACCAGCTACTAGATGGTTTGATTAGTCTTTTATTCCTATACCCAGGTTGGACACCTAATTTGCACATCAGGACCACTGTGGACCATGGGGCAATGAAGGTGAAGACTGGAGCACTCATCACCCAAGGTGGCATCCCAAAGCCTCTCCAGTCTACTGAAGGAATACCCCCAGTTTACCATGGGTCTGTATCTCCTGTCATGCTGGGGAGGTGAAGCATGAGCACACGTGTTAGGAATAAAAAGATGGTGAACTATGCCTGGGCAAGACGAAGCCAGAGGAAACTGGTGGAGGTCCACAATGGTCCTGATGGGCAAATTGATTGTCCAACCTGGATATAGGGATGAAAGACTAATTGAACCATCTAGTAGCTGGTTCCCTCCAAAGTTTCCCTCAGTATAGCTAGTGCTCTCACAAAACCCACCCCACACAGTTTTATCCAAGTCACAGCCCCAACGTATGTTAGCAGAGGTGAATCCATAGGGGTCTGCAGCAACTCAATTCTTCCCTACTCAGAAGAAAGAATTCATCCGCTGAGCATAAGTCAGAGTGAGAGATCAAGGCAATATTTAGAGCAGGAGCGAAAGTTTATTTAAAAGTTTATTATTATTATTATTATACTTTAAGTTCTAGGGTACATGTGCAGAACATGCAGGTTTGTTACATATGTATACTTGTGCCGTGTTGGTGTGCTGCACCCATCAACCCGTTATTTACGTCAGGTATAACTCCCAGTGCAATCCCTCCCCGCCCCCCCGTGATAGGCCCCGGTGTGTGATGTTCCCCTTCCCGAGTCCAGGTGATCTCATTGTTCAGTTCCCACCTATGAGTGAGAACATGCGGTGTTTGGTTTCCTGTTCTTGTGATAGTTTGCTAAGAATGATGGTTTCCAGCTGCATCCATGTCCCTACAAAGGACGCAAACTCATCCTTTTTTATGGCTGCATAGTATTCCATGGTGTATATGTGCCACATTTTCTTAATCCAGTCTGTCACTGATGGCCATTTAGGTTGATTCCAAGTCTTTGCTATTGTGAATAGTGCCGCAATAAACATACGTGTACATGTGTCTTTATAGCAGCATGATTTATAATCCTCTGGGTATATACCCAGTAATGGGATGGCTGGGTCATATGGTACTTCTAGTTCCAGATCCTTAATGCAGGAATGAAAGGAAGTAAAGTACACTTGGAAGAGGGCCCACTGGGCAACTCGAGAGTTCCAGTGTGCCATTTAGTCCTTGTCTTGGGCTTTTTATATGTTGGCATGCTTGTAGGGTTTTGCATCTCTTCTTTCCTGATTCTTCCTTGGGGTGAGCTGTTCGCATGTACATGCCAGCACTTGGGAGGGGCCAATGAGCAGTATGTTTACTGGAGGTTGTGTGTATGATCACTTGAGGTGTTTTCCCCTTATCAGTAGAGTGTTCCTGGAGGAAGGTTATATGCCAATTAAACTCTACCATTATGCCTCTTAGTGTGCATGCTTGAGCACACTCAGCTAACTCTTGAGATCTTATTGGGAAACGGCTGCTCACCAGCTTCAGGTGTTTTCTATCTATTGGGAGATTGACTTTCCCTGGAGCCAGCAGTGACCAATTATCATTTTAGAGGGTTTAACAACCACCTGACTAGCACCTGATGGTCACCCAACTAGCACCTGATGGTCGCCTGGCATTCCTGGTGGGGTGGGGGGCTTCTCCTGCCCTGCTCATGTCTGTTTGGCTGTCCACTCTAATAATAGACACATAGTCCTTTCAATCTAGGAAAGCACATTCTTTCCTACCTGTTGTGGGACATTTTCTTCTGTTATTTTTTGATAATTTCCTCAGAAACATTTTTTCAAATCTCATTATCTGGATTACTACTTAGATGATGTTGAATCTTTTTGCCTAATGCTGTTTTCTTATCTTCACTCTTCTATTTTTCCATCTCTTTGTCTTTTGAGCAGATTTTCTCAACCTAAACGTTCCATCCTCCTGTTGATTTTGTGTGTATTTAGGAGATGGGATTTACTATTTGAGAGCATTTTGTTGTCATAGGGTTCCTTATTTATTTTGCTTTTTCTTTTGTAAATTGACAAATAAAAATTGTATATATTTATGATATATAGCATGATATTTTGATATATGTATACACTGTAGAATGACTAATCAAGTGAATTAACATATCTATTACCACAGATACTTAGCATTTTTTGTAGTGAAAGAACATTTAAAATCTACTCTCTTAGCAATTTTCAAGTATACAATACATTCTTGTTAATTCTACTCACTGTGTTGTAGAGCAGCTCTCCTCTACTTATTTCTGCTAACTGAAACTTTGGATCTGTTGACCAACATCTCCTCAACTCCTTCCTCCTTTAGCTCCTAGTAACCATAATTCTACTCTCTATTTCTTGTTTCTTTTTCAGACAGGGTCTCACTGTGTTGCCCGGGCTGGAGTATAGTGCCCTGATCGCAGCTTGCTGCAACCTCAAGTTCCCACGCTCAAGCAATCTTCCTGCCTCAACTTTCCAAGTAGCTGAGACCACAGGCATGCTCCATGACACCGGAACTTCTGAATTCAAGCGATCCTCCTGCCTCAGCCTTCCAAAGTGCTGGAATTACAGGCATGAGCCACTGAATCCTGCCTGCCCTCTGTTTCTATGTGGTATTTGTCTTTCTATGCCTGACCTATTTCATGTAACATAATTTCCTCCAGATTCATCCATATTGTCCCAAATGACCAGATTTCTTTCTTTTTTAAGGCTGAATACTATTCCATTGTGTATACATACTATATTTTCTTTATCTATTCATCTGTTGATGGACACTTAGATTGATTCCATATCTTGGCTATTGTGAATAAGCTGCAATGAACTTAGAAGTGCAGATACTGCTTTGACATATTCATTTCATTTTCTTTGGCTATATATCCAGAAGTGGAATTGGGCTGGAATATTTTTAATATTTTGAGGAAACTCCATATTACTTTCCATAATAGCTGTGCTAATTTACATTTCCACCACGAATGTATAAGGGCTTCCTTTTCTCCACATCCCCTCCAACACTGGTTATCTGTCTTTTTGATATGTTTTCTCTTCTCTGTAAAGCTGTTGATTGTAGCAATTTAGTTTTTCCAAAATTTTTTAAATCAAACTTTTGAAACATATAGCTGAAATGAAACAATTTTAGCATGAATGCTAATATACACCCAGCACCTATATTCTTGCTTTTCCACGTATTTACTCCCGAATTAATATATTACTTGTATGCTTTTGTAAGTAAACTGCAAACAAGTACATGCTTCTCCTAGATCCTTCCACATGCTCTGCCATTAACTAGAGTTCAATGTTTAATTTTTTCCTTTTGATGTACAATTAATACACAATTAATCTACACACACATTTTACTTAGTTCTGAAAAATGTGTACACTTGTATAACTCAAAGTCCATCATTATAGAAGATTACTATCACCCTAGCAAAATCTTTCATGTCCCTTCTCAATCACCAATCCTGACCACACCCCAAGAAAACTACTGTTCAAATTTTTCTCCATCATTGATTGGCTTTGACTGTTTTAGAACTTCATAAAAATAAAATACTGTAGTGAAGTATATATAATTTTATGACTAGCTTCCTTTGCTCAACACAATGTTTTTGAGATTTATTCGTATTGCTGCATGTCAATAGCTGGTTCTTTTTATTGCTGCATATTTCATTGAATAAAAATGCCAAAGCTTGTTTATTCATTCTTGTCTCACATTAAAGTATCTGGGGGATGTTTTCCACTTTTGGCAATTAGAAATGGAACAGATTTGAATATTGTACAGGCTTTTTATGCATATGTATGCTTTTTTGAGTAAATACCCAGAAATTATGTTACTGGATCATAGGTTAATATATGTTTAGTTGTAGAAGAAAATGCCAGCTCTTTTTTCCCAAAATAGTTGGCCCATTTTACACTCCCAACAATAATGGATGAGATTTCCAGTTGCTGCATATCCTTACCAAAAATTAGTTTTTCTAGTTTTAGTCATTCTGACGGGTGTGTAGTGGTATCTCTATGTAGTTCTAATTTGCATTTCTCTAATGACTAATGATGTTAAACACATTTTTATGTACTTGTTTCATGTACTTGTTGATATGTCTATTCAATTCCTTTGTCCATTTTTATGGAGCTGTATTTTGTTATTGAGTTGTAGGATTTCTTTACATACACTGCATACCAGGCCTTTGTTATATGCATGCTTTGCAATGTACATTGTCTTAAAATCTGTGGCTTGCCTGTTCAATTCATTAGTGGTGCTTTTGTTAAGCAGTTTTTGATTTTGATGAAGTGTAACTTACTAAGTTTTTATTATGGTTATTTGCTTTACGTTTCAGGCCCAAATTTTGCTTTCTCACAAATCACAAACATTATCCTATGTTTTCCTTCCAAAATTATATGGTTTTATGTATTTTCCATCTCAAAATATTCTCTAATTTTTTGCTGATTTATTTACTAACGAAATTTGAGGGATTTGCTATAATGTTAGGGATTTTTCTAGATACCACATTGTTATTGATTTCTAATTTAATTATATTATGCTCAGAAAACATATTCTGTATGCTTTCAACCCTTTACATGTATTGAGACTTGTTGGAGGGTCCAGCATATAATCTATCTCAGTGAACACACCATATTTACTTGAAAAGATGTGTATTCTGCAGTTGTTCAGTGTAGCATTCTATAAAATCATTTAGGTCAAGGTGTTTGATAGTTTGTTCAAATCCATCTACTTCTTCATTAATTTTATTTATCTGACTCTATCAATTGCTAAAAGAATTTTGTTAAAAATTGTCAAGTATGATTTTAGAATCATTTATTTCTCCCTTTGATTAATTAATGTTGTTTCATGAATTTTGAAGCTGTTCAGAGACCAAAAAAAAACCCAACTATTTATGAATATTGTCTTCCTAAATGGACTGATGATCCTTTTGGCATTATGAAATGTGTGTCTTTGTTTCTGGTGTTAATTCCTTCCTGAAGATCAGCAGTGTGATATGTTGTCATTTGCCTAAAGCCTGAAGAATGTCCATTAGCATTTCTCAAGGAGATAGTCTGTTGGTAAAGGATTCTCTTTTCTTTTTCTAAAAATGCCTTTATTTTGCCTTCATCTTTGCTGGTTGATAATTGGTTGTTAGATTTTTTTTTTCTGTCCTTTCAAGATGGTAATTATGGTGTATTGTTACATTGTTCACTTCTTTAGAATGTGTTGTTTTTCTCTGGATGCTTTCAAGATTTCCTCTTTATTTTGTGGTGTTCAGTGCTTTTATTAGGATGAGCCAAAGTTTAGTTTTATTTTTAATTTTTCAACTTGAAGTTTGCTAATTTTTTAAAAAGCCTATTGAGAGGTAGACTTGACATACAATAAGCAGCACGTATTCAAAATGTAAATTTGGATACATTTTCATACATATACACTCAGGAGATCATCACCGCAATGAAAGCAATGAACATATCTATTACCCTAGAATGTTTCCTTCTGCCTTTTAGTAATTCCTCCCACATTCCATCTGATTCACAGGCTCCCACTGATCTCCTTTCTGACACTATACATTTGCATTTCCTAGAATTTTATAGAAATGAACTCATACATTATGTATACTTTTTGTCTCACTACTTTCACTGAGACTCAATTATTTCAGGAGTCATACATTATTGTGTGTATCAATAGTTTGTTCCTTTTCATTGCTGAGTAGTATTCTGTTGTATGGATATACTACAATATGTTTATCCACCTGCTGATGAACATTGAGGTTGTGTCCACTTTGAGACCACTACAGACAAAGTTGCCATGAACATTCGTATACACTCTTTCTATTTTTCTTGGGTTAATACATACAAGTGGAATGACTGGGCCATATTGTAGAAGCATGTTTAACTGTTTAAGAAATTGCCAAACTGCTTCTAAACAGGTTGTAGCATTTTACATTCCCAAGAAAAGTGTTTAAGAGTTCCAGTAATTTCCTATCCTTACCAGCATTTGGTATGGGCAGTCTTTTTTTCACCTTGGTAATGAAAAAGAACTTAATAGTACTTAATGGTTCTATACAATTTTATTGCCAGTGTAGTTTCATGCATTAAATTCGTTTTGTTTAGTTTTGTGAGACAGAATCTCACATTTTTGCCAAGGATGGAGTACAGTGACATAATCTTGGCTCACTGCAACATCTGCCTTCCAGGATCAAGCAATCCTCCCACCTCAGCCTCCCAAAAAGCTGGCACTACAGGTATGCACACCATGCTCAGCTAATTTTTGTATTTTTTGTAAAGACAAGGTTTTGTCATGTGGCCCAGGTTAGTCTTGAACTCTGAGACTCAAGTGATCCACCTGTCTCGGCCTCCCAAAGTGCTAGGGTTACAGGTATGAGCCATTGTGCCCAGCCTAAAATTGTTTTTAATAACTTTAAAATTTGATCACAAAAATAATGTATGATAGAAAACTTCAAAAATATTAAATGATGCAAAAAATACCTGTAATTGTGTCACTTAGTCATAATGCTTGTGAACATTCTAGACTTTTTATTTAGATATATATGTTTTTAAAAAGTGGATTCTAGTTCACACACTGATTTATAATTTCACTTTTTTGTTAATACTAAATCATGAAGTCTTGAGGTCATGAAATCTTATTCCACTATGCCTTATCTTTAGAGGATGTAGAGTTTTCTGTCACATGGCAATGCCGTATTTTATAATATCAGGTTCCTATGTTAGACATTTAGGTTGTTTCCGGTTTTCACTTAAAAATTATGGTAAAATTAGCCCTTTATCAGATGGGTAGATTGTAAAAATTTTCTCCCATTCTGTAGGTGGTCTGTTCACTCTGATGGTAGTTTCTTTTGCTGTGCAGAAGTTCTTTAGTTTAATTAGGTCCCATTCGCCTATTTTGGCTTCTGTTGTCATTGTTTTTGGTGTTTTAGTCATGAAGTCCTTGCCCATGCCTATATCCTGAATGATATTACCTAGGTTCTCTTCTAGGGTTTTTATGGTTTTAGGTCTAACATTTAAGTCTTTAATCCATCTTGAATTAATTTTTGCATAAGGTGTAAGGAAGGGATCCAGTTTCAGCTTTCTACATATGGCTAGCCAGTTTTCCCAGCACCATTTATTAAACAGGGAATCCTTCCCTCATTTCTTGTTTTTGTCAGGTTTGTTAAAGATCAGATACTTGTAGATGTGTGGTGTTATTTCTGAGTGCTCTGTTCTATTCCATTGGTCTATATCTCTGTTTTGGTACCAGTACCATGCTGTTTTGGTTGCTATAGCCTTGTAGTATAGTTTGAAGTCAGGTAGTGTGATGCCTCCACCTTTATTCTTTTGCCTTAGGATTGTCTTGGCAATGTGGGCTCTTTTTTGGTTCCATATGAACTTTAAAGTAGATTTTTTCCAATTCTATGAAGAAAGTCATTGGTAGCTTGATGGGGATGGCATTGAATCCATAAACTACCTTGGGCAATATGGCCATTTTCACGATATTGATTCTTCCTATCCATGAGCATGGGATGTTCTTCCATTTGTTTGCATCCTCTTTTATTTCGTTGAACAGTGGTTTGTAGTTCTCCTTGAAGAGATCCTTCACATCCCTTGTAAGTTGGATTCCTAGGTATTTTATTCTCTTTGAAGCAATTGTGAATGGGAGTTCACTCATAATTTGGCTCTCTGTCTCTTGTTGGTGTTTAGGAATGCTTGTGAGTTTTGCACATTGATTTTGTATCCTGAGACTTTGCTGAAGTTGTTTATCAGCTTAAGGAGATTTTGGGCTGAGACGATGGGATTTTCTAAATGTACAATCATATCATCTGCAAACAGGGACAATTTGACTTCCTCTTTTCCTAACTGAATACCTTTTCTTTCTTTCTCCTGCCTGATTGCCCTGGCCAGAACTTCCAACACTATGTTGAATCGGAGTGGTGAGAGAGGGCATCCCTGACTTGTGCCAGTTTTCAAAGGGAATGCTTCCAGTTTTTGCCCATTCAGTATGATATTAGCTGTGGGTTTCTCATAAACAGCTCTTATTATTTTGAGATATATCCCATCAATACCTAGTTTATTGAGGGCTAATATCCAGAACCCACAAAGAACTCAAACAAATTTACAAGAAAAAAATCAAACAACCCCATCGAAAAGTGGGCGAAGGATATGAACAGACACTTTTCAAAAGAAGACATTTATGCAGCCAACAGACACATGAAAAAATGCTCATCATCACTGGCCATCAGAGAAATGCAAATCAAAACCACAATGAGATGCCATCTCACACCAGTTAGAATGGTGATCATTAAAAAGTCAGGAAACAACAGGTGCTAGAGAGGATGTGGAGAAATAGGAACACTTTTACACTGTTGGTGGGACTGTAAACTAGTTCAATCATTGTGGAAGACAGTGTGGTGATTCCTCAAGGATCTAGAACTAGAAATACCATTTGTCCCAGCCATCCCATTACTGGGTATATACCCAAAGGATTATAAATCATTCTGCTATAAAAACACACACACATGTATGTTTATTGCGGCACTATTCACAATAGCAAAGACTTGGAACCAACCCAAATGTCCATCAATGATAGACTGGATTAAGAAAATGTGGCACATATACACCATGGAATACTATGCAGTCATAAAAAAGGATGAGTTCATGTCCTTTGTAGGGACATGAATGAAGCTGGAAACTGTCATTCTGGGCAAACTATCGCAAGCACAGAAA